CTTGGTATAATTATGCGTTAAAAAATTATCGTTTATTGGATTATATTACTACCAGTCGGATCGCCCGGCTAACGCCGAGCTCTCCTCCTTCTCTTTAGATGGCTTGGTGGGCGCACTTCATGATGGCAACAAAATTTTTTTCATCCACTTAGCTGCTCATAATGGATATGGTCGAATCGTAATAGATGGATCAACCCACGGGCGAGCCCACATCCAGCTGCCACGCAGCAGCTTGTGCGATGGCCCGGAATGTACGGAATAACTGTCTTAGATAGGGTGGGGATTATCAAGTCAAAACAACATCTTACCTTAGTTTAAGAAAATCTTTTTTTTTTTTTTTTTTTTTTTAGTTTGCTACTCTATTATGGATTAGCTCACAGTTTTGTTAGCGGTTGTATCCTACTCTCCTGCTATTATTCTACCCAAGCGTGCAATACGCTCCCTTCCCCTAGAAAGTAGAGGGGAGGGGCCCCTCACCGAACCCCCTCCCCTGTGCTTCCTTCACTTGCACATGCTCAGGTCGGGCTAGAGCACGTGCAGTGGAAGGACCGAAAGCAGAGGGGGGGGCCTTTGCTCCCCTCCCTCGGCTCCACCCCACCCTGCCCCCGCACGAGCACATGTCCAGCTGCCACGGCAGCAGCTCGTGCAATGGCTCGGAGTGTACCGAATGATTGTCTTATATAGTGCAAGCTGTTATCAAATCAAAACATTGGATTGATACATCTGCACCAATCGATTTCCGATTTGCTTAGCGGTCGTTCTTCCTTCCACTAATTCGAACCGCCTTGAAGCAGTTTTGCGGTACCGGACAAACATACATACTACATATCCTTAACATATCTTTACTTTATTCATCTCTACATTACATATACAGACCGACAAACCGACACACAAAGTTTCTGCTTTTAATAGAAATTTAAGGATATTGTACTGAGCTTTCGTAAGGGCTAAGACACCTTCGCTTCACTTCAACTTTTCCTCGCTGAGACCTTTACTGTTACGTTCAACAAGCTGTCTAAGTGTGTTTAAGCAGCATCTTCTAACCCTGAGACAGCCGATGAACACTTGCACACTGCCGGTTGCCATACAAGATTGCAATAACTCCGGGCTCTCCTCCCCAAATAATCAGTCCGATAATCTTCCTGATCGGAGATCACCATCGCACGCGAATGCGATGGTACGAAGAACCGAAAACTAGTTTCTGCTGGAACCTTTCAACCTTGAACCTTTCAGATAATTACATTAGTTATCATTTAAGTGACAGAGATCACTACCTCCTGCATTCGCATTGTATCGCTAGCGATCTGCCCACGTTCTGCAGAGAGTGCAGAGAACCCGATGAGCCCTTCGGTTTTTTCGCCAGAAAATAAAAAATTCCGCACGTTTCTTGCTCATTCAGGCAGAATCGACAGCACAATCGCCGAGACCGGTTGGTTCGACGGCAGTGACCGTAATTATTCCATTCAAACGCATACGTACTTCTAGGCGGAAAAACAAGACCATTAGAGAGGATGCCATAAACATCCTAACCAAAGTTCGACGGCGCGTATGAATTTTCTGTCACGAATGGTTTGTTCTGTTCGCTTCTCTTAGTTTATCGTATATTTGTGCTCATTTGAGTTCTCTTAAGCCGCCCGGTTTTCGATTAGCGGTAAAGTGGTCTCACGTCGGCCTGCTATCAAATGAATGATCATCTCTAGTGATTTCGTTTACGTCATCGTCGTTCTTTCAACATCTAGCGGACCACCATTTTCTGCATTGCTTGCGCAAAATGCTTAAAAATAACCTCCCTTCAAATTCTGTTTCTTTCACAGCATCGTTACGAATGGAGGAATTCGTAGAAGAAAATGCCACGCGGAAGCACGTTGACGGGAAATGGCTGCAGTTCTGAACGTTTCTGCCATTTCGCTAGAGGGGGGCCGCTCATAATCTTAAAGTATTGTTAACTTTACGATGTCTTTGGCAAGCATGAGCCGGAAATAAAGGTAAACTGCTGCCTTCCCTCTTCCCTCCAGCACAGCGCGGCACCCACCCTCTCACAATTCATATAAACAAAAATTTGTTCAAGAAAAAAAGGAAGTTTAGTACTCAGAACAACGCTAGCGTTTTTGCTAGTAGGAGCCGCAAAAGCCAGATCGTTCTTTGCTGCTCTCTGCAGGATGTTCTGGTTGAAACCACCGATATCACTCTTTTTTTGTCAAATGAAACATCGAAATCGGCCACACGGTCCATGTTTGGAGTGGTCCGGAAAAATACCGTGGGAGGGAAGAGAGGAGGGGTGGGGGCAGGGAGATCAGTCCGAGGCCCCTTTCTAGGTCATCCAAGAACGTGGGGCTTAGCTCAAGAAGGAGTGAAATTCAAATCTGGTGCAGCGCTCTTTGTCCCGTCCTTTGTCATTCCCATTGGCCATCGATCTCTCTAGATACCAACACTATGAACTTTCCATACGATCTACCCCAAAAAAAATGTCTTCACTTTTCAAAAAAAGCACCTTGAGTGCCCGAGAAGTCTCAAGATAAAACTCTAGACGAAATCCCTCGAAGGGCATTGCGTGCCACAGGTGAGTACTACCTGGAGAACTCTCGAGCTGTAGATCATGCTGGTCGCCTAACTGGATCTTGTGTTGGTTTTGTTGCCGCGACGGAATAGGGCATAAAGGAGCACTCTGGTTTAGGATGAATTATTGTTTTTGTGCCTCAATCACTTCGAATCCATACTTATTGCGTACATTGTACAGACCTCGCATCATCATCGTCTGCCTCCCAGTAGCAGTTATTCGAATGATCATTTCACCCTTTTCATGATGGTTCCGTTTTCGTCAATTGAGTCCTGTTCTGACAGGGATCAGTTTTAATAACCCGGCGAGAACCACTTCATTTCAGAATGCGCTCTGCTCTGCTGCTTCTCGCCGTCATCTCATTCGCAACAGCATGCGATATCATCGTCCACGTAAAATCCAACACGGCCAAGAAATTTCAAGCTCAAGTAACTGCCAGCAACGGAAAGAAGAGTGAAAAGTAAGTCTATCCAAGTCTACCAGTAAATCCGCCCGACAATGAAGAAACCATGGAGGAAGTCTACCTTCAGGCAGAGTTCAGACTTCGCGATGACGTGCGTCGACGCACTGTGACGTGCTACATTGCAAGGGCGCTTCAATGCTGAGACGCGAACGCCGCCGCAAAAGACACGCCGCTTGTGTATTGAGAGAGTACGGGAGAGTGATAATCCCTACTAATGGGACGTGAGAAGGGTGGAGGATGATGACGTGGCTCGGATCACAGCCAGAACAGCCCTTCCTGCCAATTGATGCGGACTCAGGATGACATTGTTGATGGAAAGACCCGCTTGGTAGTTTTCTAATACACACTCTCGTGGCCCTATGGCCACCAATCAAACTTCGCGATGACGCTCGTCGACGCGCTGCAACGTGCGACGCGCTCAAATTGCAAGGGCGCTCAGATACTACAGAAGCGATCGCAGATGCCAATCGGTCACGCCGGCTGCCAGTGTTTTGTGAAAGCGTGGGGGGGGACTAAGAGGGCGCGTGTTGCTCAAACTAGTCTTCATCGGTATCGGTCATTAGTGTTTTGAGAGAGTATAGAACAACAGGAGGGTACCAGACTAGGTGTAGGCAGCGCCTGCTCTCCACTAATTTTATAGTTTCTCAAAGCACAAGCGGTAGGCAGCGATCGATTCCGTGTGAGGCTGCATTCATGCCTGCGGCCTTTTACCGTCCTTAAAGTGTACCCACCTCAACGCTACCAGCGCTTCGTCGGCGCGTGTCACGCGAAATCTGAGCGCTGCTTCAGTATCTGTGACAACGATTAATGTCTATGTAACGCCGTCAAGTCAAAACATAATAAGCTAGACAATTTTTGTAGCGCTAAAGGGCAAGGAGGAACAGCTCGCGATTATTCAACTTGCGGAATCCTTCAACAACCCACGCGTGGTCTTGAATAAATGTCACTGCTGAGTCAGATCGGCAGAGCGGCTCA